GCTCACCTGGGTGGCGGCCGGCTCCCCGGCGGGCAGGGCCAGCTGCCGCTCCAGCTTCTCCGCCTCCTTCTGCCTCCGCAGCTCCACCTCATGCGCCACTGAGAGCAGGGTCTGCGCGGGCAAGGGGTGGGGCGAGGACAGTACCTGGGACTTCACGGACCTGACCCTCTTCCCCCCACCTGTCCCCGAGCCAGCACCCACAGCCCCTGGCTTGGCCCCTCCTCCTCGCCCACCCTGGCACGGCCGCCAGAGGGCGCCTTCTGCCCCGCACCCTCGCGGCCGCCCTGCACGTCTGTGAGGCCGCCTCTGGTCTCTGTGCTTCAGGTTTGCTTATGTGAACCGTCCAGGACAGGCAAGTCCGACAGACAGGAAGCTCGGGGGCTGCCTAAGACTAGGGGAAACACGGAATTGGGGGCGATGGCTGATGGGCCTGCGGTTTCTTGGGGGGGGGGGCTGACGAAAATGTTCTAAAATTAACTGAGGCGACGGTTGCAGACCGGTCACTAAAAACCATCAGATCATACGCTGTGAGTGGGTGACCGCACAGTGCGTCACCACAGCTCTGCAAAGCAGTTACAGACACATAAACGTGCTCATGACCGATCCTGATGCCTCGTCCCGTAGGGCCCACCCTCCCGTCTGGTCCAAGCTGGACACGCTGGAGTCAGGCGCGTCCTCTGCTAGGGGCCGACCTCGCCCCTGGAACAGCGAGAGCCCTGCTGCTGCTGCTGCTGCTGCTGCAGACGCCACCGCCCACGAGGCCCCGCCTCCCGCTCCCGGCTGGCTGGGAGCCCTTCGCACGAACAGCGCTGAACGCCGCTCAGACGGGCATCCTGCCTCTACCGCCATCACCGTGACCTCTCTCCAGCAGCCTGTCCGTTGGAACGGGGGCTCCCCAGAGCAGGGGTTTTGCCCCTTTGTTTGCAACACCTGTGCTCGATGTAGGCCTCTTAAATGGGAACAGGTCTGACCCCCACTCTGGACAACAGTGAGCCTGTGAGGACGGGCCGGGGGCTGTCTCAGTCACATCTGAGACGCCAGCACCAGCCGGCGCGGGGCCGGCTCCTGGATAGGGCGCGCCAGCTGGGCAGCGGAGCTCGGGTGAGGAGAGGGCCGGGGGCTACGTACCTGGTGGTCTTCAAAGGACGGGTTGTAGGAGGCTCCGGCAGGCGTCACCTCCACGGCGGGGGCCTGGGAGGGCCTTATGTGGAGATGTGGTGGCCGCTGGGGAAGACACGGCCGAGGCGGGGTGAGCCCGCGCCATAGTCTGAACCTGCCCCCCAGATTCCTATCCGAAAGTTAACCGAAATGTTAAGAGTGGGGCGTTTAGGAGGTGATCGAGTCACGCGGGCTGGCCCATGAATGGGACTGACACCTGATAAACAACCCGCAGGGCACCTGAGAGCACA